CTACTGTTGTAATAAATTCAGCTAGAACTCAAGTGCCTGCCCTTCAATGCCAACCCCCACTCTATTTACAGGGATGAGCCCTGCCTTAATCTTGTTTTCACTAAACATTGTTCTTTCCCCTATCTTTCAGCACTTGATTTTTCTGTGATTTACAGTTCTCCGCTGTAAAAAAGTCAAGACTACAAATAAGGACATGAGAAAAAAAAAATGAAGATTAACCTAGAAGTCATAAAGAGTAGAGTGAAAGAGTTGTGTTCCTTGATTATAAAAAACAATCATGCTAGCACAATGAAGAGAAGGATTTGTGTGGAATTCCTGCAGAAATGCCATTATGAGTGATATGAAATTGCCAGTACAAGAGTCATGATTATGATGAGTCATTTGCATAGATAATTTTACCATTTTTCACTTGGAAAGCTGTGACTGGTTTAGTTCCACAAGATGCAAGGTTAGGAACAAGGAACATAAATCACAACAATGAAAGAAAAGAGAAACTGGAAAATGGCGATTCTGATGAGGATTCTGGGTCCATTTAAAAAAAGCTACATAAGCTTCTGATGAAAAAAAAGGGATTCTTTTCTACAAAAACAGGAAAGTTTTGATCAAAATATGCATGACTTGTGCTTATTGTGCTGATGAGCTTAATTGTGCAATGGTGCATTCAGCATGGCTGTCCACATTTTTAAAAGGACATTGAAAAGAAGAACAGAAGAAATAAAAAAACTTGTTACACATAATATTAATGAGTTTTATTTAGATTGTCAAAGAGAAGACTAATGAGACACAATTACAGTTTTTCTTTCTTCACAGGGAGAAATTATAAAGTCCTTAAAAGCAGTTCATTCTGGCAAGGAACATATAGTTGGAGTTTGAAGCGAAATTAATTTGAATAGAAATAAAAGTTGGCAGTTCAAAAGATGGCATCTCCGTCATCATGGATAGCTGTCTGTGAAACAAAGCTTTTCTACAATATGTCCTTTCTATTTTATTATCCATTTCAACCTCTTTTTCCCAGGCAATAGTTAGTAATCCTAGCATAGTGTGATATTTATTTTCTTCTAATGTATTTGTGTATTTTCAAAGGAGGAATTCTTAGCCTCACCATAAGATTTGTGATGCCCAGAATGCAGTAACTGGGTGCTTACTGAATGGAAATATGTACACAGTCATTTATCTTTAAACATTTTGGGAAACTCTGGAGGGTGAAACATTGCATAAGTTTATTGATCGTGTCCAATTCTATTGGACAAAATACAAAATTTGTCCAATTCTATTGGACAAAAGAGCCTGCAACAGGTTTTTAAATCATATTTGGAAAATGGTTCCGGAAACCTTGGCCATGACTTTTCCCATGAGGAATTTCTCCATTCCACATTTATCAGCTGCTGACTGTTGGGAGCTGGGGTTAAAAGGATTCATAGGACAATGGACATGCTCTTGCACAAAACTATAGACTTCTCCAATTTCACCCAACAGGAGTTAAACCAATGTAACTAACCCATGGCAAACAGTGCTGTTCATTCTATTCAACATCCAAAAGACTTTCTCACAAAGCTGGCTGCCTGATCGTTAAGACGAATTGGTCCCAGCACTCTGACATCATCTGTCTGTCCCAGGATTTCTATCTGACAATACCTGGAACAGTCACAGTAACAAGGACTTTAAGAAATCCTTGATTATACTCACCTTCTCAGACAACTATAGAATGGCTATATTCAGCTCACTAGGGACAATATCTCACAGTTGCTACTTCAGCCATACAATGAAGTCTGCAGTTTCTGTATGCTCTACAGTGCCTTCATTATGTCAAGAGGGTTCCAGGGCAGAAGGCTGCATTGGTCCCATACAAATAAGAAGACTTGAAGCAAAATATATATGTGTGAACATCTCAATGGAAGGTGGTGCCTATGTCAGTGACACACCATGGTCTTCTGTGTGAAGGCACAGATCTCCCCTGAAGTATTCATATATTTGCACATGGGTGCAAATGCAACACACATAGTAGGTATGAACTGTGGCAAAAAACCCCTATTATTTTAGAGTTAGACATTAATAATAAATCCAAATTTCTTAGTGTTTCTGTATGATCTGGATGACAGATTCCAGGAACCTCTTTCATCCTCTTTCACCTTCCTTTAGCCTTCATTCTTTGGAAACGTACAAAATGTTTCAAAAGACAACAGTGATGTTCATTCCCTCTCCACATTCCCTCTCCACACTTTTTTCTGTCATGATTCTACTATTCTCAGTGAGGACAAGACAGCAACAAATGCTGGAAAGAGTAAGCCTGAGATGAATTTCAGCATGTAATACTCCCTGGCTTTTCTCAAAGATAGCTTCCCTCATAGCAGTGTGAGATTGAATCACCCTCAGTTTTAGGTCCTTCCATGCCAAGAAAACCATAGAACAATTGAATGGTTTGGGTTGTCTGGGGCTTTTAAGATCCTCTAGTTCCAACCCTCTGACATGGTATGGGGACATTCCACTAGACCGGGTTGCTCAAAGCCCCATCCAACCCAGCCTTGAACACTTTCAGGGATGGGGCATTCACAAGTTCCCTCGGCAACCTGTTCCAGTGCTTCATCATCCCCACTCTAAAGAATTTCTTCCCAGTTTTTATCTAAATCTACCTTCTTCAAGTTTAAAGCTATTGCTCCTTGTCATATCACTACATGACCTTGTAAAAAGTGCCTCTCCAGCTCTCTCATAGCCTCTTTTGGGTACTGGAAGGTGCTATAAGGTCTCACTGAAGCCTTCTCTTCTCCAGGCTGAGCAATCCCAACTCTCTCAGCTTATCTTCACAGGGAATGTGCTTCCACCCTTGGACCATCTTTGTGGCTCTGTGCTGTACTCACTCCAAGAGCTCAAAATGTTCAAGCTCACAAGTTTAGTGCTAACACAGTGATCCTGCATGGGGTAACTGAGGCATCCTTGTCACACTCCAAAGACACAAGGCTTTCTGGATGAAGCAGTATCGTCTGCAGTAATATGAGCCGGGAAAAAATATAAACTTTTGAGAACCCAAGACTGTATCTCTTTGGGATTTGTCTGCTTTTGGTTTTTTATTGACTTTAATAAACTGTAATGGACTGATATCCTTAACTCATCAATAGTGCAATATTCTGCACTGTAAAGTGCCTGTAAACACAGGCCTGAGGTAACTGAACCCCGTTCTTCTATTGGTCTCTGTTATAAATTAAATTAAAATGGAAGACCACATTCCCTAAACATTTACTTCTAATTTCTTCTGTGAAACTGAAATGAGATATAAAGACTGTTAGGTGATTTTGTACTATGACTTGATTATTTCTTAATCTCATGGGTAGATAAGTGATTCTCTTCATTATTAACTTTTAAATCCAAAATGCTGAACCAGCTACCTTCAAAAGGAAAACGTGTTTTAATGCTTATTTGTTTTAAAGAAGACTTTTATTCTTTAAACACTATTCTGTCATATTGGACTTGTGGAATATGTGGACTTGTGGACCCAGGAAACCTCTGGCTACCAAGCAAGGGAGAGGAGCCACATATTTTTGGAAAGAGTGGTGGTTGTTCAGGGAGGGCTGGCTCTGCCTTGCAGATCAAGTGTTTGCCTGTAGTGGCAGAGCAAACCTTCCCCTCCACACATCTGAGCTCTGCTGCTTCCCAGGCTGTGCTGCTGCTCTAGGATGCAGCCTTGTGGCCATGACCAACCCTCTGGGAACTGAGCTAGATTTACTGGGAGAGTTGCCATTTTGTGTGCCACTTGGGACATCAGAGGTCAGAAATTATAGTCACTCAAATGAAAGGAAGAGAGAAAGCTAAGTCTAGATTTTAGGTGATAACAGTAATTTTGAAGAGTACAACCACAGAAGAGAAAATGCAAGAATGTCTGATTTTTTCAACCTGTGTACAAAATGAAAATGTGTAAATGTTCTTTAGAAACAGCCAAGAGGGTAACAAAACACTAGACATAAAATGTTTGTTTAGAGACACAATATTCTGACAAACACATGTAGAATAGTCTAGCTTTTGAGATGTAAATATTTTCTTCCTGAACTACCTTTTGCAAAATGCTTTTGAAGGCATTAATGCCAAATTATTCAATTATATGCATAATAGCAACTATATTTGCTAATTTTTAAACGAAATTCAGAAGCAAACAAAAAACTGAGGGATTTTTTTTTGTCTTTGATTTCAGTTTAATTTTTTCTCCTCTTGCCTGAATGTCTGCTGCTCACTGTACCTGGAAGAATACTGGGTAACTGCAAAGACATTTGTGTACAGTCATTTTGCCCCCTGTTTCTATATATCTTTTCTGTATGCTTATTGGAGATTTCTGAATGATTAATTCTTCCTGTCTTGCATAAAAATGAAATGTTCCCAGTAAACCATGTTTTGAAATTGCATGTCTTTTTTTTTAATGGAAATATATTTCATGTTCATCCAAAGAATAGAAACAAATATGTTATCTAATATATGACTTTTTCTGAAATTAGATTTTGCTTGAAGTTTGAACACATCCAGTAAACTCCTGACATATTCTTAAAGAAGTAGGATTATGTATTAAACTTAGGATATAATAGTAAATGATGAGATTAGAATAAATTAAAATTTTCTGAGGACTCAGCTGAATTTAACATTTCTTGAGGACTCAGCTGATTTCCGTGTCTATGGATTGGTTTGGGCTCTCAAACATTTAATACTTCTTTTTGAAATGTATTAAAGTTAGATATCATTGAAGAGATAACTTTCATCTCTGCCTCACAGTAAGAGAATGTATACTCCACTTTTCTTGAATGGGTCTTTAGAAAAATAATTGCCATCATTAATTGATCTTTCAATATTTTTTAGCAGTGCCCCAGTTTTTAAGAATCTTATGTTGCTTTCTATCTTTTGATCCTGCCTTTGACAGAAATGGTCCAAATATTCATAGTAAAATGCTGATTTGCATAAAATAAAAGCTTACTAGTAGTTTTAGGGCTGTCAGAGAAAGTGAAAATTAAAATAACAGTTTTTTAGTATTTAAGTGAGTGAGGAGAGGATTAATTAATCAAGAGAAGAGTCAGATATAAAAGACACAGAAATAGCTCACTGATTTATTTTCATTTAAAAATTCTTCCTCTTTCCAGCAGATATGACTTGATAAAGACTGGTTATGAGTAACCATAAGAAATAGAATAGTGTAAAGAAATTGCAAGTGAAGTTTAGAATCAAGATCACAACTATTTCAAATTTTTTACCTTTAGAGACTTCTGACACCTGGAATAATATATGTCAATTGTACCTAATATATTCCTGGAAAATGCTGACAAGCAAGGAGAGGGTCTTGTAAATACAGCTTGACTTTCCAGAAGCTTCATGGATCCTCAAACTGAATCATGAATAGTTCTGCTTTCCTGAATGTATTCTTCTGTTCAAAGGAGGAGCATACATGTCTTTGTTTCTCTGGTCTTCTGGTTTTGTTTGTTTGTTTGTTTGTTTGTTTTACAACCCAGTTGTAGTCACTTAAGATAAGCATTTAAGAAAGAGAAATAGCTCACCAAAGACCTGGGTTGCCCTTCCTGCTGACTCTCTTCTCAAGTGTTTCTCTGTCGTTTTACAGAACTCCTGTTAGGACCTTAATTCAGAAGGTAAGAATCCAAACTTTGCCATTTTTTTATTCACTATTTGTTTGGGGTTTTTTTGGCCAATAAATTAGTTTCAATGATAATATAATGATGTAAGATCAGAATGCAAATTATAATCTTTATGTAGTAAACAATTTGAAGACAAGTTGTAGTAGTAATAGTATTGGTCTGTAAAGCATTCTTTATGCACATGTTAAACTGAGTGTATTTTCAAAAATATATTTTATTGGCAATAATGAAATAGTGTATTGATCTTGTATATTGTTTTTCATATAGAAAATAAGATGTTTATCCTTGAGATTTTTCTTTAAATTAGGTTTTAAATCAGTTTATTATTGTTGAAAGGTAGTTTGGACAGTAAATTTCCATTTTAATTAGAACACTAAGGGCAATCAGTCTTTTATGAGCAATAATACTGTACTTTAAACAGCAAGTGATATTTCTAGGCCTTCTGAACTTTAAAAAAAATACATTTACATCCTTTTCATAATATGTCCAAATGCTATTTTTAAAACTACTGCATTTTGAAATTCAAACAAGATTCATTCATTAACATTATGATAAGGAAGGTTATCTACTGAAAAGAAATTTAGAATGATCATGTACTGAGCAAAATGTATTTCACAGTGATGGAAAGAGAACTGAATTTTAGTATTTCAAGAAAGCATTAAGCAATATTTATATTCCATTTCATCTTACTACACTTCAGTTTTACATTAACACAATTTTGATTTGCACTACATCATAACTGATAATGTGCATGTCCAATGTAACCTCAAACACTAAAATTTTTCACTTCTTTCTCAGATGGCTCTAGACATCTGTTTGGGCAGCTGATTCATTACACAAATATCATCTTTCACAGATGGACATGTTTTAATGAGATGTGATAATGTCCAAGAACCTTAAGCATTGATATTTTGATCTTCACACACAGTTTTCAAATGTCCTTTAGCAAGGTAATTGCCTGAATCCCAAACTAGGATTTACAGACAGACATTTCAGTTTAGAAACATGTAATCTTATGCTTTTGTTATTTTAGGTCAAAAAAAAGTAGGCAATTCTGCATTTTCTGACATAGACTTCAGTGACTTATTATTGTTGTAAAAATATCACAGCTCCTTCTTGTGATATCTTTGTAGATCCTGTGCATGCAGCAACACTGCTTAGAAAGCAAGGTGAGAAATGGAAATACTTCTTCACTAGTCAAATATCCCCATAGTATTGGTTTCCTCTATTGGCATACTGTAGGGATGCCTTGCTCTTGTTCATGCAACTGAAGAAGGGTAATGGAATCAAGAAAGAAGCATGGTATAAGCTGAATGAAAATCAGAAACCCTTTCTCTATGAAAACAGAAGAAACTAGAGACATAAGAAAATGCCTGAAATAGTTCTAGGCTATAAAAAGTAACTTCAAAGTGTTCAGGTTTTTCAAGACCTTCACAGAAAAAATAATTTTTTTACCAGAATCTAGTTAAATCATAATTTTTTGAGACAAGTTACAAATATAAATTGTTGCAAAACCCAAGAATTTCTACTCTTTTATTGGTTTATGCCTTCTTAACATAAACAAAGCTGTGACTGGATGTCCTCTTTAAATCATTTCATCAGTGCACAACATAGGAATACGGTTTCCAGAGCATTGCTTCCTGTCAGATCTCTGAACATCTTCTGTGGGCAGGTTTTTACCAATCCTTTCTTTCTTTGAGAAGGAGGGAAATTCATGTCTGCATGGATGAACTTTAAGAGAGCTGACAAGACCAGTGGCTCTCCAGCAGGAGTCCTGAGGAGAAGAGCAGGGACAGTTAAGGCTGGTGGTGCCCCCATGGTCTAAACTCCTGTCCTTGTTATTGTGGTGACTCAAACACCTTTTAAGAAGAATATGGATTTTCAAAGAATTATACTTTTGCACTGTAAAAACCCCAAACCAACCTTCAGGAGCATCTTCTGTCAATAAATCTGTCCTTGCTTTCTGCATTTTCTGCCATACACAGTTACAGCCTACCTTGAAAGGTGAAAAAGTTTGACAGCTGCAGTTTTGTTCATGGGAAAATTACTTCATTCTGAATAAGTAATGGTCTGTCCGATTATTTCAATTTATTCTGGGACTGAATACACTTGTCTAAGGACCTCTAAAACAGTACGCTGAAAAAGGCTTAGGCATTTCTGTACACTAAATATTGTGTTAGAGTTAGCATTATTTTTCTGTTTGAACTACACAGGACAAGTAAGTTATTATCAGCTTATTTCTTTACAGTTTCTCTTTGAAGGAGTGAATCTCAGATTGAAAGCTCTTTTTATGCAGGTAGTTTACCTGAGCTGTAAATTCTGAACTTTGACTTTGAAGAGAAGCACAGGTTTCTTTCAAAATCAGTCTGTGCTGAGGGTGTCTTTTAACACCCTCTTAACTGCAGCATTCAATTGCCTTTCTCTGTCCCATTAAGTGAAGTAATCAGCACCCATCTCATCACAAGTACTTCAGTGTAATGGAAGAGATTTTTCTTCTCTAGATTTACATAAGAAGTTCCTGACTCTTTCCAGTTCCCAGCAATCTCAAACAGAACATGTTTAACTCAGCTGAGCCCTATGTAATATTTATGGACAATATATCAAAGTGTTTCTGTATTATAGTAATTTCCGAAGACCTGAATATTTGCTGGCAAATTTTCATTCTGTTAACCAAAACCTTCAGATTTTTTTACAACTTGATGCTATTTATAAAATGTTGCCTAAATCAGTCCAACCAACTAGTTGCATTGTTTGCTTGCCAGATTTCTACAGCTACTTCAACAGCAGTGCTACTTGATTATGTTTCACTTATCCTAATCAAAAGGGTTCAAAGGGTTTGAAATAGATTCAGCTGATTGCTTAAGCTGGATTTTATAGAGTAAGACTCAAAATTATTTTGCAATGCTCACCTCATTTGCACTGTAGATAGTGTAATTCTGATTATGGAAGGAAAGAAGAAGTTTTGTCATAATTTGGGGCATAAAATATACTGTCTCTGCATCTCTTCTTATAGTGGTAGTCATATTAATATGTATCATTGACATTATCCTGGTTTAAACATATGTTTCAGTTAAGGCAACTATCATATATAGATTTCAAGAAATTATTTAGAATAATTCTTTCTAAGGGTTTAGGTTAGCTCACTATTCAATTTAGGTAATAATTTCCTGCAGTTGACATGATGTAGTTGACTGTTTCATTGCTATTCTTTAATTCCTTGGTAACTGGAAGAATATAGCATAGCAGAGAATGTAATTTTTATGCTGCTGTATTTTGCAGTAGCAGTAACATCAAACAGAACATTATAGTATTTATCCAGTATTGAGAAACTAAACTTAATGTATAATATTGCTGAGAACATAATATTGCTTCTCTTTTAGCAAGTTACTCAGCAAGCAGATTTGTTTTTCTAAAACAGATTATTCCTTAAGAAACAAAAGAAAATGTGAAATGCATACATAAATGTTTTGCTTATATCCTAAATGGTTTTTATTTCTTACAGAGAATTTAGACTAAGTGATTGAGAACACTACAAACAGAGAAAGGATGGTGTTTGCAGATAAACTTATCTCAGGAGAGCAGAATAGCAGCCCTGGGTTTACCATTGGACAGGCATTCTTGTTGGGACTTGAAAGAAGAGGGAATAGAATAACAATGACACCATTGTCCCTAACTACAAAGTAAGTTGCAGCTCTTCCGTCACATCTGAACACATTCACGTCCGAATTTCTCACATATCAGCTGTTCATACCCTGCCTGTTTGTGGTACAACTAAAATTCTGTGAATCCTTTTTGTTGCACATGGGCTGCTCCTATAACATGGATCATGTAAACCTGTATCACTCAAAGATCAGTTTTCAGATGTCCATCGATGAGCTTTCCCCAGGCTTTTCAATAAGTCACCTCTCCTGCTCTCTCAGGTTCTTAACACTGGTTTCTGACCTTAACTAGTCAGGTATCTGTTTCATGCCAGACTAGTTCTCATTCCATCAGCAGCCTCTGCCTCTGACATGTTAGTATGCTTCAGAGAGCATGATGATAAGCAGAATAGAAAAAGCTGATCTACAAGAACTGGTAAAAATTAATTGCTTTCACCTTTCTTTTTGCTGCCATATAGTTCACAGTTGACTCACAAGTGTTCATGTAGTTAGGTCTGAAAATGATCTTGTTCATATCCTGCAAGATTGCTCATTACACAAAGCAGATTTTACCTTACCTTGGCTCCTCAAATCCCTTTTGAGTATGCTGTTAGTGGCAAAATTTGCTACTTGAGATAATGAGCCCCTCAGGGAAAAACATCTGATAGTGTTTACTGTCAAAGAACTTAAATAGATTGAGCCTATTTCTTACCTCAAAGCACAAAGGTGAAGTGATGGCATTTTACTCAGGAAATGCTTCTCTTCATCAACTAGATGTTATAATCAAACACTTATAAATCATGTCAACAAAGTACAAACCCAGCATTCAGAGTTACATAAGGGTATGTAGATAAACTCCTATTTCAGCACAAAAAAACTCCATAGATCTGTAACTCTTGCAAAGCAAGTGAGGAAATCACTTTATTGCTAACCACTGGCCCACTCAGAAATCATTCTAATACCGATTCACCCTTTTATCCATAATGTAGAAAATTTCTTTCACAATATTCTAATACTACACATGTTCTCTTGTTTTATACAAGTAAGTTCTGCTTAAAATTCCCTCTGTCTCAAGCTACATGCCCAAATGAATTCTTGTCTCAAAATCTAACTTCAAGATTTATGAAAATACTGGAATGCTTCAGGTCAGAAGGAATCTTTGGGAATCACAAAGTCCAATCTCCAAAGTCAGGTCAAGGCCATCTTAAAAATTAGAATTTCAAATTACTGTTGGAAACTGGACCTGATGTTTGTCTTTTCTCAGTCTTCATGAATATTCTCTGGTTTGCATGGCCTTTGTTAAAAAAACTGTAGCAACCCTCCAGTAACATTGGTCAAATTCAACATAGATACTTTTGGTTTCATGCCCATTTCTTCAGTGTTCTCTAACTGATCCTTCTTTATTGTTGGTAGCTAATATTCACCATGGGTAGTTTGGTATTTAAAGATCTCCATACATAATCTTCTTTGCCCAGACATGAGTGTCCACATGCTTCTGCAGAGATTTCTCTGTTTCAGATATCAAAGCTGTGCTTCAAGACAGAAAAATGTGCATAAAAATTTACCTTTTCTCACCATATCTAATAGTCTTCAAAAGTCATTGGTCATATATAACATAACTCATGGACTCCTATTTTATATTTGTGGCCAATATACTATATTTTGAAAATAAGGGAACCAAGTGCAGAATTGTAATGGATAACATTTTCTCATTTGTAGATTAAAATAGTTAATGAAACAATTTGCAAGGTGTTTCACAATTTGTAGTAGTTCACAGAGATACTTATTTTAGCTTAATATGTTTCAGATTTAGGAATGTATTATTTAAATGATGAAGTTTTCCCATATTGGGCTACTTGCAACTGAAAAGAAGGGTAATAGAGTCAAGAAGGCAGCATGGTATAAACTGAATGAAAACCAGAAACTTTTTCACTGCAAAAATAGAAGAAACTAGAGGTATTTGAAAACTGTGATCACAAGCTATTTTCAACTGAAATATTTAACAGTGTTGAGGTCTATAGCCACTACTATTGGCACAGAAGAGACAGCTTAGAGCAACAAAAAATGACTTGTTGAAATGTTATACAAACATGAATAAATACACTACTGCTATTAACTTTACAGTGTTTTGGAATTTTTTTTCCTGTACTGCCATATCTTTAATCAGTATTAATTTCATTTATTATATATAAAGCTACAGTATTCATTATATGTAGGATTATATTTAGAATCTGTAAGATGTTTCAGTTCAGCTGTAATAAGTTTCTCTTTCCTCAGACAGAGTAAACTGCCTTTTTAAGTCTGTGAAACAAACATTTGAGCTGGAAATATTAAAAAAATACTCCCCTAGAGGAAAACCAAACTTATTATTTCTTTCTTGAAATGGATTTAATTTCACAATGGAAAGAAACGGTCCATGGTTATTTTACATTTTTGGTGTATAACAGAAAAGATTTATGAACACTTTCTTTTTATTTTGCAATTCCTTAAGGGGCAGAAAAGTACAGAGAAGCTACAAGAAATCAGTTCTGAATATTTGCACTTTTGTCCATACCTACTTTATCAAGATCTCAAAGGTGACATCAAGAGAGTAGAAAAAAACCTCTGTATGGATTTCCTATTTTAAGATGAGATTACTGTCATTTTGTCTTCTGAGTTATTTCTGCTGTAGCAAAAAAGCATAAACTTTGTAAACACCACAAGATGTTTTCTTAAATATTCTATGGTTTAGATAGGAGGTATCTTGTGGGGTTTTTTGGTGGTTTTTTTTTTGTTTGGTTGGTTTTTTGTTTGTTTGTTTGTTTTGTACGATATTGAAATAGATACTCAAGCCCATACTGAAACTTTGTATTGTTACTGAAAAGATAAAGCATAGGTAATTTTCTACACTGAGAAATATGCTGTAGGACAAATTTTGTTGCTCTGGCACAGAAAAATTTCTGATTAAGTGACTTCTGAAACAGAATAACTAAGGTGAGACAAAGAATCCACATGGAAAATTATAACTTCATAGTTGCATCATTTTATCCCTTCAACCTGCACACCAATTTCTCTATGCAATGAATGCAGTCATTTTTGAACCCCCTATTAAAAATATACTTCAAAGATGAATATGAATGCAGGGGAGAACAGAACA